TTTTTTTTTTTTTTTTTCCTTCCTTTCTTTTAATGCTATTAGGTTTATATTTTATTCTGAATTGAAAAGAAAATTGTGGTTGTCTTGACTACTAAAAAAACCCATCCTACACACAGCTTGAGGGATGTGCAGCAGAGAGGAGGGAATTTAGCAGTTCCCAGCTCAGTTGTTCCCAAACACAGACCTCGGGCAGGTTTGGCCGCTGTTGGCCTTGTGCACTCGGCGGCCACAAGGCTGTTTTTTCTTTTCTCCCAACTCAACGTGACTAAAAATGTGTTTTCTTTCTAGGCGATAGTATATGAAGGCCAAGACAAGAACCCCGAAATGTGCCGAGTTCTGCTCACGCATGAAATAATGTGCAGGTAAGAGATACCCTGCTTCCCCCTAATTAGTGATGAGAAGATGAATCTGTCTCTCAAAATCTAGGTTGAACCTGTGGCTATTTTAGGACTTAAATTTATCTTTCTTGCATTAAACAATCCCAAAATAACACAGTCTGGTGTGTGTAATTAGCAGCAAGGTCTCTGTCACCGCAGCAGTTTTCAATTGATAACGAATTTTCCTTAACCGCGCTACTGGGTTGCATTTAGACCCCGTAGCCTACAAAAATGGGCTCACCAAAATTAATAGTTAATTATAGAATTGTAGTTTTCTCTGCCCCCAATTCCCAAGCAAATGACAAAGTTTGCTCTCCCAGCAGCATGACAAAATGGTTGTTCTGGTGTTGCTGGCCTAACAGGCGGACAGGGCTTCTCCCACCTGCCTGGGCCTAGCAGGGCTCTGCTGCCCCATGGCTGCTATTTGTTGGTGTTCTCCAACCACACAGATCTGACCCCCCCACGCTCTGCTCCCCCAGAGGTGTCTGCATGGGGCTGGCACTTAAATCTGGGACAGAGAGATGAATTCTTTTTCAGCTACTTTCTTCCCCCTTCTGCTGGCAGCGTTAGGTGAAGCCTGCTCTGCTCCCTCACAGCATCTTCTCCCATAGCCCTCAGGCACCCAGGAGAGGCTGACCTTGCAGTCTCATTAAAGTTAGTGGGTGTTTTTGCATGTCTGAAAAACTCATTTGTTACATGTTATTCGATGGCAGAAAATAATTCCCTGGTGGAAGATGAGGCATTCTTGCATAAGCTCATTGTTACAATCAGTTGTTTTAAGACTGTAAAAATGCCATTGCATGCATTGTAACTTTTACAAAACACATTTACTAAAAAGGAGTAACTTGAGGGGAAAAGCTGGTACCCACTTCTAAGAGAATAAACTTGGATGAGGGTTTCCTGGTGGGGGAGAGTCTTAGACAAAGTATTCAGATGGAAACTTCTCTGCTGGTTGATGTTTTTTCCCTTTATTCTTTGGAATCTGTGTGTTTTGTGCTTCCTAAGGCTTCTGTCTGATAAAACCCAGCTCGAGGGCAGAGCCCTGTGATGCCACTCTTCTTGCATTGCTTGCCGGGTGGAACCCCACACAGCTTGCAGGATTTGGGGGACTTTAATTGCCGTATCCTATTTTTCTAGGCTACTTTGTTCAGCAGGTTTGGCTTTGGGAAACCAGAGATAACCCATTCCAGCCTCAGCTCTTTGAGAGGTCCCAAGCTGCTGCTGCTGGGAGCTGTGGCATGGCTTTGCTGAGGACTCCTGACCAGTCCTACCTTTCCCAGTGCAAGCTCAGCCACACTGACAACCTGTAATTGCACTAAAACTCATTGGCCCAATTAGCACCACTTTTGCACTAGATACCTAGCTAGGAACAATTCGTGGAAATATTAAAGGAGGCCCCTGACCCGATAAGACTAAGTGCATGCTTTGCTTTTCTTGTGGAAGCGGCCCAGTGGAACAGTGAGTAAAATTAAGCACATGCTGAAGTGCCTGCAGTGTCAGAGCCTGAATGTGCTGGTAGCTTCACCTAGTGTGCCCTGTTGGTTCCTAGACTGCAAGGTTTGGAGGTGGAAATAATCTGGTATCTAGGTTAGCATCCAGACCTCAGGAGGGGCTGAGCACACACTCTCAGCCTGCAGCATCACTCTCTGCAGCCAGCCTTTGTTCCAGACCCATGCCATGCAGTGCCCTCAGCCAGCTCTGGGACATTCACCGAGCCCTTGTGCAACCCTAAAAATTCCCTCTCTAATCCATTAATTTTCTTATAAATACTTCAGAAACATGAAGATTAATAAGTACATTGAAAACTTCAGATAGAGGGCTGAGTTTTAACCAGATCTGTGTTAAAGATGTGCAGCTTTGTCGATATTGTTTAACCGAGGTAAAATTATTTCCATTCTGGGGATGTGTAAAGCTGTGCTGTGTCATTTGAATCAGCTTTTCCCTTTATTGAAGCACTGTCTGTTTTTTTTCGTTCTTAAAATTTGCTTGATCAGGAGCTCTGTTCCTCTCCTCAGATTTGTTTGCTGCCAGCCCTGGTTTTGTGTTCCTAAACATAAGGTGTAGGGGCAGCAAAAAAATCCGACTGTGGTGTAGGCACGGTGTGACTGCTGGGTGGGGGAGATGCATTCAAGTATCTTACCGCTCATATTAGATATTTCCCATTTCCTCTTCTGCCCATAGGTTTGTAAGAGGGTGCTGTTTGTTTACCAGGCCGCTTGACCCTATTGCACAAATCTGTCATCTATTGTGCTGCTAACACTCTTTTAAATTGCAAATCTGATGCTCTTTAGGGGTCTAGAAAGGGGGGAAAAAAATCTCTCTCCGCACCATTCTGTTTCTCTTGATTTCTTGCCTGTTGTAAGTGGAAGTTGGGATGTGCTGAATTTGCACCAGGGGTGCAAATGCAGCCTCAATTATAAGCATAAAATTAGAGTCTGTTCCCCATTAATCAGTCCAGCTAATTGCTATGCACTACCATTAGCCATATGGTGTGAAAGACAGCTTGCTCTCCCTAAGATGAAATTTCTTCATTTCAGACATGAAATAGTGAGGGCTCTGTATTTTAAAATAGCTTGTTTTAGATGTTTAATTTCTAAACAACTTTCAGCAGTGCTTTCTATCAAGGCTAACTGCACAATAAAACTTTGCATTTATGTGACAAAGCTGGGTATTTATAGGATGCTCCAACTACGGCAAGGAGAAGACAAAGAATTCAAATGTACGGGAGAGTTCTGGCTGCGGTAGGGATGCAGCTCTGAGGTTGGCTTCAGGTGGCTGTTTGTTTATTTCGAAGAGGTTCATTGTGTTTTGTCAAATATAAAATGTAAAATCCATGCTGTTGGCGAAAATGTTAATAGCTGGAGGGAATTCAGAGCCTCGGTGGAATTTATTGGCATTGTAGGCAGCGTGGGGAGGGACATCTATAGTTAATATTGCCTCAACAATTTCCATTATGAAACCTTCAGTGGCTTACAGCTTTGCCAGACTTAAACTGTTCTGGCTGAAATGTCCTTTGCAGGGTGTCAGCCCGAGGCTGACTTTCTTTGGAAAGTTTCAGCTCAAATGGTTCAGCGATTTCTGAGAATGAGGTTGGAGTAAAATATGGTTTTTGTCTTTGCGACATAAAGTCTTACAGCTGTTTTGTCGAGGAGCCCTTGCACCTTTCTGCCTGGCTGGGGTGGGAGCTGCAGCCCATCTCACCAGGAGCTGCTGCAGTCTGTCCCATGCGGGCTCACTAACGACTTGTTAGAGCCTGGCAGTAAGTGATCAGAAAGTCGTGTTTGTGCTGGCCTTGTGCCATCGCCCCGTAATTTCTCATTGTTCATTGTCCCTGCAGAAAGCCTGAGTGCGTGGATACACAAAGCAGGGCTCCTCTGGCCTGTGATGCTCCTGGCCTGCTGCGCTGGGTTAGGGAGAGGGAGGGTTTTGGGGTGCAGGATGGTGTGGTGGGGCCATGGATGTGTCCGTGATGGGGGACAGAGATGCTCCAGTGGGGAGAAGGGTGAGGACAAAGGCAGTGACAAAAGCAGGGAGCAGTGGTGGCCAGGGGATGGAGGTCTGCAAAGAGGCACGATGGGGATGGTGTGAGGAAGGTGGAGGCAGGAATGGGGAAAACCCATGTTGGTGCAGCATGGCAAGGGCCTGCGTTGCTATTGAGGGCTATTTGCTTTAAAAACAAACCAAGCAAACCCCGAGCCAAATCATTTTTTGCAGATTTTTTCCCCCCCTTGTTTTTAGTTTTCCCTCTCTCAAACTGCTTTAGATCAGACATAATCTGATTCCTAAAGACACTGTGCCTGAGCTCTGGCTCCCTGTCCTGCCTGGGGGGGACACCCCACAGGGCCAGCCAGGAGCTGGCACTTGGCATCAATCCCTGCACGCAGGGAGCTGAGGGCTTCTCAGTGACTCAGAGAAACTCCTGGGACTTCTTGAATTCCTTCAGGGAAAGGCGCTGAATGTTTAGGCACTTTTTTTTTTTTTTTTTTTTTTTCCATGTGTTCAGTAGATGCTAAAAGTCAAAGCTTTCGAAGCAAGTTTGAATGCTTCTTTTACCATGAGGAGCGATCTAAAACTCAGGGTTGGTGTGATGCCATGATTGTCTGTGTAGAAAAATGAGGGTGGATGAGGCCTCCAATTCTGCTTGTGAGGGAGGAAAAAAAAGAAGAATAACAAAGAGAAAAAGAAAAAGGCAAACGGAAGTTTGATTTCTTGCTATGGCTCAGGTCTATGGGGGCGTCATCTCAGGACACCTGAGCCACGCAAGAGGGCCACCCCATGAGCAGCCCCATGGCCGTGCTATCCATATTGTCCCTGGCAGTCACCTCTTCTGCTTGGGGCTGGAGTAGCTGAAGCAGGAAGGTGCTGGGGATGCTGGGGGCCGCCCAGTGCAGTGGGGAGCCTGGGAACCTTTGCTCGCCTGAGTGAGTGTGGCAATTTCTGTCCCTGCAGTCTGCTGGGAGAATGTCAGGACTAGCCCTGATTCACTTCAGTCACAAGAACTGCATTGTCTTAACTTGTGCCAACTCTGTTTCTAATTACATTTTAATCATTTAAAAATGATTAGCAGTTTTTATTGCCTTGTTTGTGGGTAAATTTTCTCACCCCACACATTCTCGCTGCACTCCAATGACAAGTCCTTTTATAGGCAAAAAAGCCCCCCGAACGTCCTCATGACTATTTACCTACAGCATATTTTATTCCTTCCTAAATTTTAATGCTTTCTGGGTGCCAAGGCTCTTGCATTTATTTTCGTGGATCAATTGTGGTATTGTGCTGTAAAATTAAGCAGTTTTTTTTGGCAGTCCTAAACAATGTAACTTCCACCGAAATGAAGATACCGCACATGTGTGAACTGAGAGAAGTTTCAGTCCTGAATAGTTGCCTTGAAGCCTTCTGCGGTGAAAAGAATTATGTATTTTCCTCTCTTTGAAAACAAAAATTTATTATTTTTTTTGAGACCATGTTTAAACAGGCTGTTTTTGTAAAAGGTCCCCCCCTCCCCCCCCCTTTTTTTTTTTGTTATCTTTAGTGTGGTTAGTTGCTTTATTGCTAATCTTGGTGGGTAACTGTATATTATTCACTCTATTGTTCAGCAGCACAAGAGAACCTTTGTCATGCTCCCAACAGGGCTATTTATATAGCATGGCACTTCTGAGGGCTTCTTACTGCTCCCGTGTTCTTCCACCTTCCAGGGAAAGGAAAATAGTCCATTGGCACGGGAGGGTGAGCAGTCAGGTCCCTGGATACTGCTTGGAGTGAGCATGGTGCTCTGCAAAGCTGTGGCTGAGGTTCAACAAGATGTTTGATAACGGCAAGGTGTGCCTGAATCTGGCCTGGGAGAGCCAGGAGAGTGACCCCTTGCCCTGTTAATTGGTGCCATCCCCATGGGGGTCCCCATGCTGTGGTTCCCTGCCCTCTGTGGCCCCATGGGAGTTTCCTGGGCTTCACCCAGTGGGTTCCTGCATGAGCCAAGCTCCAATTGCCGTACCCCTTTCAGACAAGGGCTCATCCCAAACAACAACTCAACATCTCTGTGCAAACAACAAGCTCCTTAGCTTAAAACCTGAGCCTGCTGCCAGTGATGGAGCAGGGCTTTGGCAGATGGAGCTGGTGCTACATGCTCCAGCTTTGTACCCAACCCATGGTGCTCCACCAGCACAAGCAGTCATCCGTGTGCTCAGAAAAATGGGAAACAGGCATGCTCCCCTATAAAAAGCCAGTGGTGTTTGCATTTTAGCTCCACTCTTAACAATTATATTTCTTAGAAGGAGAATCATTACACTTCTGGATGTCGGGGGGAGGCTTCAGCTCTGTAAAAGCAGGAGTACTGTGCGGCCACGTAATGGAAGCACCAAGCAAACGTTAAAAGCTGTGTTCAGGGAAGAAGAAACTGGTTCTGTGTGCACACATAAATGGGACAACTACTAAATCCTTTGGAAAAGAGACCACAAATAGGCAGGTCTCTCTGTGTCGTATGATCCTTGAATTATTATTTGCAAAGGGGGCAAAACCCCTCTCTTTTTGTATTTTCCATTGCTAACCAGCTGTGCAAGAAGTTAAACATAGTAATTAACCCATATGTGACCCACTGTATTTGACTGATTTGCAGGCAGGGACGGCGCGGTAACTCTAGCCGGCAATTTGAACCCGCCGTGTTCGTAATGATGATTTTACAGTGTAATGGTCGCACTAAATCCTTTCACTTTTGCTCTGCAGCCGCTGTTGTGACAAGAAAAGCTGTGGCAACAGAAATGAGACTCCATCAGATCCAGTGATAATTGACAGGTAAGGACTGCTATTGTTTCCTTCGATTTTCTTTCTGGTTTTTTTTCCTTTTTTTTTTTTTTCTTTTCTTTCCCTTCCTCATTATAACGAAACACCTGCCCTGTCTTGCTAATGGGGAAGAATTAGGAGTAGATGCGGATGAAATTTTGTTTTTGATACCAAATTAGTTGTGCTTTGCAACTGCGATCGCCGTGGCAGGGCCATATGGAGGCTAACGGAGCGACCTGCTCGTTGGAGGGCTCCCGTGCTTGCAGACTGATTCATGTGCATAAAGAGGAGATTTTTCTTTCTGACTTTCTGTGGCTCAATTCGCATGCTGTGCCAGGGAAGCTTCAGGAATAAAATAATAATAGTTTGTGATTTATGAAATGTGGTTGGGTGCTTATAAATATTTAACTTTTATTTGAAAAATGTTTGAATCATTATCACTTTTAGCTACAGTAGTTCTGTTGGATGCAATCCATCTACATTTTAAGGATTTTATTTATGCATAAAAACAGTTAAAAAAAATAGATCTGCAAACTAAGGGTTTTTTCCCCTGTTATTTTCTTTGGTTGGAATACTATTTTGACTGTATTGTCAGTTGATTAATTCATTTTTGCCTGTCTTAATTATTGTGCTTTTAAACAGATCCATATTGCTAATCTGACATCACCAACTAAATCACTGTTGTGCAATGCATCTATTTTAGTTGCTCTGAGCCATGGATAGTTTCTGTGCTTGCAAATTATGCAAAATGGTACCAAACAGTCATTTTTACATTTTAATCGTCAAAATTCATTGTACAAAGCCACGTGTAATAACCAGGTTATTATGCAGCATTACTCTATGAGAGTTAAATGGCCATGAAGTACTGAATCTGTCTGTCATCAGCTGGGGAAAGCAATACCACTGCACTAATCTGTGCATGCAGGGACCCTGAAGGGAAGCTGTCTGTGCATATGGGAGCGAGTGTAGAGCGGTGTGCTTCTCCTAGCATTATTGTCTGAGCTCATGTTTGCTGTATTAGCTTCAAAGTACCTTCTGTGCCAGTCTGGGTGTTTGTTATAAAAGAAAAGGTGACGGCGTTTTGTGTGCGGAGCGCCATGCGGGAGGGATGGGGATAGCAGAGCCTGGCCAGGCACTGTGCTTCTGCAGGCTGTCAGATTTATAGTTCTTGCTTGAATTTCTTAAGAAAGTGCATATATTGGAAGCTTATGGCGGGTGTTTTGATTAGCTGTAATCAGTAATCCTGAGAATGTTTAAGCCTCAGAAGATATATCTACCTATTTTAACTAGGCGTATTTCCATCTTCTGTGAGCATTAAGTAGGGCTGGGAAAGGGGGGGAAAAAAACCCAGTGAAATCTGTATAGAGATGTGTTCTATAAGCATGCTGCCGAGTTGAACACTATAAACATGGTGTTAGGGCGGCATTTCGAGTGACATGAAAGCTACAAAATTCACATGAATTTTTCATTGTACTGGAAAGTGAGATGTTAAGATGCTAATGGCAGGTTTACGGAAATATTTTGTTTAACTATCTAGTATGCAAAACTGCTAGTTGCAAATCACTTTAAATTATGAAAGCCAGAGATGCTTGTCTGCTACGTGCTTCTTAGAAAATGAGGGAAACTGTTACATGAAAACACAGATTTAACTTTGTGACGGTGATCAATCTATCACTATTTACATACATTTATGCAAAAGATACCAATTCTGAAGACTATATTTAAAACACAAGTTGAATACAATTCACAGCTCATCATCCAAACCTTGCCTTCCTCCCCCCTGCACTACAACACATTTGGCTTGTGAATGGGTTAAGCTTTTAAGTTCTTCACTTGGTTTTAAATTGTGACTTTGATACAGAAGGTTGATATGACTGTGGTTTGAATAACATTTGATTTTGACCTGTTCCTGTGGGTTGCAGTGGTATAAGAAATTTGACTCAGCAGTACTGTAATTAGCCCTCCCTGTGTTTTTGAAACAGGATTGTGTTACCTGGATTGCATTAGTGTGGCTTCTATTGTCGCCGCTTTGCATCTGTCCCAGTAGGGTACTTAAAACCTTTTCTTGGCCGGGGCTAGTTCAAACAATTTAGGCCAAATAAGTACGTGCTTTATACAGTCAGTGGCTTTAGCGATGCTTCTTGTGACATTTATCCTATTCATTTTTTCCCCCTTTTGGTTTGGAAAGGATGAAACGAGCTATGTGGGGCCTTTTTACCTTAAAACGAGTCTGTTAAGCGCTAAAGCGCCTGCACGAGTCAGCACATGTGTTTAGTTGTACTCCATTGTCACTTCTGCATGCACACAATTTTAAACTATTATGTCAATTGATACGCTAAGCCATATTTAGCTATTTCTATTTGCCTGTGAGCTTACAGAACTCATTTGCCATTTGGGCTAAAGCACTCCCACATGCCTTACGGTCTGATAAAGCCTTGCCTATGGATTTAATCTAACTCTCGCATCAAATCCTACCAATCCTCAGACTCTGACCTAACATAGAATTTAACGTAGAATCCATCTATGGGATTTTTGACATATGTACTTAAATGGAAATGCTATCCTCTTCTTCCATGCTGGAATACTGTTTTGGATTGATTAATTCTCTTTGATGAGGCCGGAGAAACTCGGGATAGAGAGGGCTCGGTCTTTGTGGTGGTTTAGCTAACTTGGCAAAGAGGCTCTTTGTCAACTTCAAAGTTACATGTGTTGTGCTCTTTTTCAAATCCTAGATGTATATGAAAAGTAAATCGCACATTTTTATTTAATCAAAATGCAGGATTTAAAAAATAATAATCCGTTGTTGCGTTTGAAACAGGATATGACTTTATCCTTTGTAGAACTGCTTTATAGTTTGCCCTATTATAGTATCAGCGGATATAGCAGTGAAAGGGACCGAAAGAAATTCGTACTTGTAGAGGGATCTCAGTTTTCTCTGGAGAACAAAATCTCTTCTGCTTATAGAGCAGTCATTTCAAGGAAGTTTCTTGGAAACCTGTGTATTTCTGAATCATCTTAGCATAGCCTGTATATTTTATCACTAATCCGGTTACATGTGTTCAGATGAAGCTCTGATGAACAGGAACTCATTTTAAAAGGGATATTATTGTCACAGTACAAATGCACAATTCCTTCTACAAGTACAGTAGCAGGGCTGTATTGTAATCATACTTGAAGAAAACACAGAGCACTTCCTGTTATTAAATTAAATTCTAGATTGATTTAGCATTCAAATAGTAACTTGTATTTGAATTTAAAAGGTTTGCAATAAAATTTCTGTGAAGAAATTGAATAAATTGTAGTTTTATTACCACTCTGGATATCCCAGTGTCCTAACCTTTTTCCTTACAGTTATCTTAGTTCAATAAATAAAACCTCATTAGACTATTCCCATTTCAACGAGTTTATTAAATTTTACAGAAGTAATTAGCATAAGCTGTGCTAATTTTTCTAGAAGACTAATGAGAGAGCTTCCTAATTAGGTTTGCTTTGTAAGAATCAGAAAAGATGATAATGACAAAAGTCACATAGGGGAGAAAGTGGGGCTTTATATTCTTCCTTGGTTCAGGAAAGAGGCTCTTCTCTCTCTGTTCTGCTCCGAACTCTTAAACCCAATTTACCACTATGGGGACCAGTATTTAGTGGTGCTACCCGTGCCTGTGGGGGATTCCTTACCTTTTATGGCTGGATCCAGTAGACAGGAGTCCTATTGACTGATAAAATAGAAATAAGCACTGCAGCCCCAAATATAGTGGCAGAAAAGTCTCAGCATCGAGGATCATGCTCTGCCCACAATCCTAAAGCCTGTGCCCTGTGTAGGGACAAGGGGATGGAGGGACAAGGTGCTGCAAACTGCCCATGTGGCAACTGTTGCTCATCCCACATTCTGCTTTTTCCTGATGTACATGAATAGACTTTAGCTGGTGACCTGAAATGAGTTTTGCTGGTATTTGTTGGTATGGATGAGACCTACTTCAGGAACCTCACACCTGTCTTTCCTTTGGACACATGCCCTCATGTCAGCACGTGGGATCACAGGATATTCCGAGTTGGAAGGGACCCAAAAGACCCTGGCTCCACACAGAACCTCCCCAAACCCAAACCCTGTGTCTTGAGAGCATTGCCTAAATGCTCATTCATCTCCAGCAGCTCAGAGCCGTCCCCACTGCCCTGTGCAGCCCGTTCCATGCCCACTGTCCTCTGGTGCAGAACCTTTCCCTTACTCCCACCTGCCTCTCCCCTGACACAGCTCTATGCCATTCCATCCAGCCCTGTTGCTGCCACAGCAGAGTTCAGCGCTGCCCTTCGCTCCATGTGGAGGCTCCATGGCTCAGGGTGCCATGAGCCTCCACACAGCTTTGTGCTCCCTGGGGGGCTGTGTGCCCCAGAATGACATGATGAGGGGCACTGGCCCTGCTCTAGCAAAGCACCAATGCTCTTCATGTGACAGTCTGGGTGCTGTGTCTGAGGAACAAGTCTCCCTCTGACTTCAGAGGAGTGGCCGATGCATTTGCAGCGCTATCGGAACTCTTGTCAGTGAAGCACAGGTGGGAACTTCTGGGCTGGAGGCTGTGATACTTTTGGAAGTTTATCAGGTGCGTTTTAATGCATGGCCTGCTGCACGCATTTGAAAGACCTGTGCAATTCAACACCTGCCATAAGGATGCTCAGCTGCGCTGCTTGCACTCCCCAGCACTTCCATGTGCTGTGGCTGCTGAGGGAGCCAGCTTTCCTGCAGATGGTTTTGAGATCTTTCAGATCCCAACCTGAAACATTTTATGTTTGTGGGCAGGACTTTACTGTGCAACGGCATGAAAAGAGGCGCGAATGACTTTCAGTGTCTCCATTTTATTGCTTTACAAGTCGTCATGCAGTGGATCACATTTTACAGGCCTGATCATCTTTTCATCCTAAACAGGAGGCGAGAGGAAAAGTGACACACTGGGCTGCATTTCCCTGACCGCATCCTCCACACAAAGACATTTGTTGAGAGGATGTGTGGTGGTCAGCGTGTTG